GCCAGCGGGTGGCCAACATTTTGTCACGTGTTTTGGGTTGCGGAATAAAATCAGAATCAGTTCATCTCTGCAAGAAGAAAAGGGGGAAAGTAGAGAAGTGTAACTACAGCTGGCAAGATGGATGTTTAGCAACAGCTGAAACTACAAGGGTGAATCCGGAATCAGAATCTCCGCTTGGCCCACGGGCCATGCTGAACTAATAAACTACATAGTTTACGCATTAAGTCCTGGCATAATTTCCTGGTAAACGCTCGAGAGCAAAGCCGCTGAGTGCCAAAAGGCAACTGAACTGTCGTTGTCCTGGCAATCGGCCATGGTTCGACAGGACACGAAACACGAAGGACAACGAAGGATAAAAAGAAAGAGAGCGAAAGCGAAAGCTTTTGGGGTGTTCTAAACCAGCTAAGAGAAATGTTTACGATATTCGCTGTTAAAGGATAGTGGAGGACTTCAACCCCTCTTCCCCCCAGAGAGAGTCCTTCCTTATGCATGCATGTAAAATGTTAAACCGAAATTGTTATTTGTGCAGTCCGCTTGTTTAGGCTACATGCAACTACAGCAGCAACAACTACAACTGCAATGACAGCAATGCTAAACACGACTGCGAATTGTTGAACAGGCCTCGCAATTTCCATTTAACCAGCCAAGTTTCGCATTAACCGAACGCTTGAGCTAATTGACTAGACAGCCAAACTGCAGTTGAAACAATTTTGTACCTCAATTTTCTTTTTGTACCCCACCCCCTCTCCCTCTTCCTAATTAGCTGGGAAAACAGCAAAGGGGCGGGGCCACGTTGGGCATATAAATTACGCCATCAACCCAATAAGTTTACACCTATCGAGAGAGTTCGTAATGGATTGCATTGCAAATTTGAGGTGCATTGCTGCCAATTCAAAAATGATTTATGCACACGCACCCCCTGAACCTCCGAAAGCAAACGTGTTATATATATTTTGGGGCAAGCAGCCTCTGTCCGAATATATCTCGTACACCCCAAGTTAATTAATGTGCGGTCAACATAGGTTTTTGTGGCTTCCAGCTGGTAGAAGCTGGAGCCTCATATTTTAATGTTGCCATGTGCTCTGCATTATTGTGGCCAAACATGGTTGTTAAGGAGAAGCAAATGTCTGCGGCCAGTGCATATCATTTAATAAGAATTTTAATGCAGACACTCCTCGGCTGTGCACATTGCACATTCCAGCAGGAAATTGAATTCCAGCCTCATTTCATGATGAATTTATGTTGTGTGGTTAAATTAAATAAGACATTAAGTGCTGCATTATGGCCGAGCTGAGTGCATTCTGTTCCGGCTGGCTGGCAATCAGTTGGTTTCGAGTCTCGAGAATTAAGATCCCGTCTCTCGACTCTCGGGCTTAGCCAAATAACTTGGCAAGGCAAATAGGCAGGGGGGTTTGGCTGGGTGGCCCTTCAATTTTAATTAGCATTCCAGGTTGGAGGTCCACTGGCTACCTTCTTATCCCACGTCCACCACCGTACCAGGTAATTAACAATAACAACTACGACACTCTTGTGACAAAGCCGCCAACCGAAAACATGACATAACAACAAGCCGCCAAGCTTATTTGCTTGGCAATGGTCGGTCAGCCAGTTGAATTAGCACCGAGTCCAAGTCTCCAGGTCTCCAGGTCCTTGGGCCCGGGTGGCTAATTAAAATGTATTGCTTTGTTGTTCCGTTTCGTTTTGTTTTGAATAGAATCCTGATTCCCAAATCCTGTGGGATGTATTAGGTAGGCAGAGCGGCCTTTTAAAGACTTCTTTAGCAGAGTGGGTGTTTGCTGGCTGTTCAACATCATTATTCAAAGAGTAGACGTTTCGCCAAAAGTTCACTAACGATCTGCCAATGTCGAGCTGTGTAGATGAAGCTGAAACTGATGCGAAATCGAGCCGAACTGAAGCGAAGTTGAGCTAAGCTGCGACCATGCACCATTAACGATAACATCATCAAAGAAAATCCTTTACAACCATGTGTCACGTCAGAACGCAACCACCTACACCACCCACACCACCCACAACCGCCCACTCGGCGTACGAAGGACACATCCACATCCATATACACATCCACAGGCGCAATAGAAGCCTACGCTTCCTGTCACAGGACAAAACGCACAGCAGCAAATTGGCAGCAGCAACGACAGCAATTGCTACAAAAGGGACGACCACCCGAGTATGCCCGTATCCGAGAGTCTGAGAATCCGAGTATCCCCGGTATCCACATCCACATCCACAGTATCCCCAAGTATCGCCAAGTATCCCCAGCATCCCCAGTATCCCAGCTTCCGAACATCCTTCGGCGCCGGAGACGCACGTCGCCAAAGCTCAACTGCACACACATCAAAAATAAACCATCAGGCCAAGGCTGGGAAAAAACCGACAACAAAAAACGACGACATATCAACATTAGTCAATGTCGTGTAAGGGAGTACCCGTGTCTAGGCCACCCACTACCCACTCGCCCTATCTCCATCCCATGCGTACCCGGTTATCGTCGACAAAGGGGTATATTGCATTCGGGTAAATTTAGATTTGAAAGATAAGATAGTCTATTCAAAGGTTTTTATAATTATAAAAGCTATAAAAAGCAGAAATAATTTAGGAACTGAAATGCAAATTAGCCTAAATGATATCTTATCACTATCAAAATAAATAAATAATTGTATCTTAAATAATGTTCCTTCGCGTAAAATAAATTATGGATAGGGGGATAAATCGTG